GTTTGGAACTGGTATGGGTTTGCTGCGACAGATGTGGAACAACAGACACCACGCTGCAACATTTGCCTAAAGCCTATCGCAGTGAAAGGCAGCAGCACCACAAACCTATTCCAACACCTGAAACAGAGACATCCAGCCGAATATGAAAAATGCCAGTCTCTCCACGATGAACAAAGCCGCACTGACCAACAAACCTTATTGCTTTCCTTAAGTAGGGGGGGAAATCGGAAAAAATCGTAAATTGAATTAAAAAAAAAAATCAGAGATTTTATTTTTAGGCCATATCGCCCAGCCCTAAATTGCATTCAACAATACATTTTATTATGTTTATATCCAGGGAGGATAGGTAAGTTTTCCTCAAAGTGAGGTCTTCAGAGAGACTCTTGACTTCCAACAGGGAGAGAAAGATGTCAGAAAGCAGGCCAGAAAAGGAATTTGTGTTTACAATAGCAATTACTTAGCAAATGCTTCATCATACAATGTTGAACTCAGCAGAAGCTACCTGACCATCACTAGACATTACAACACATATTGCCCTAAAATGAACTTCTGTATCAATAATGTGAAATCAAAATATTAATATTTCTTATTTCGATGACTAGCCTATACACTCAACACTGACACTGCCACGTCATCATTTCAGACATTGAGGGAGGAAGTGAGGGAAGAAAGGACAAGGAAGGTGAAGATTGTGAGGAAACTGAGAGGAACATACCAGGAGTCAAAGAACTAGGAACCAGTGTGAAAGACCTGAGGGAGGAGTTAGACAAAGTGATCAGGCAGGGAGGGCAGAGGGAGCTCTAAAACAACGGAAGAACATGAATGCTATGTTAAGGGGGAAAAAATGTAGCCATGGAAAATAATTAGTTTTTAAAAAAAAATTTATGAAGAGTAAGAGGGGCATGACATGGGGAAACACCACACTCAAAAAGGCTATAAAACTGCATTGGTATGATTTGTTTTTTAAGGTTACTGTATAGAGTCAGACACATCAGCATTAATTTAATAAAAGATAAGAGAGATAATTTGTCGGTGCTCAATTCTACATCAGTTTCCCTGGTAATGCAGTCTAGTCCTGAATTGTGTTTTTTCTTTTGTTTTGTTTTGATGTAACATAAATAAAATTTACATTCCTATACTGATAGTAGCCTCTGGTCCAGTTTGTTCTGGCACTTGTGTATGAAGTAGCATTTGGCTTACATATAGTTAATAAGTTATGGACATGTTGATTTAATAAGTTAATAAAGTTCACAGTTCACATCCTATTTTTTTGTGTTTTTTTGCGTTGGCCTATGTTTATTATTGTCGTAGTTGTGTATTCAGTTATGACAACATGACCACTAGTTTGTTGAGAGACTGAGTGCATCATTTCACACTGATTTCAATAGCAGATAGCTTATTATAACGTCCATTGATATCACTCTAAGCTACTTCCACTCCGTTTGCATGTTCATGTGAAGGGTCCGCCACAGAGTGGTAGTGGGTTGTTAAACCCTACAATGCCGAGTGAGCACCGATGCTGGCTTGTTGAAGGTGTGTAACACACTTTGCTGCACGATGGGGGACCTTTCTTTCAAATGTGAGTTCCATGTTACTTCACTGGTTAACATGTAGGATTTTTTGAATTCCGAAACTACACTAACATTTCATATCACCATACACAGGTTAACAACGTAGCCCAAAGGTTATATTGTGTTTAATAAAAAAAATGCTGTTGTCTGATAGACAATACTACAACTTTTGTTTATTTGATACACATATTTAGCAGTGTGCAGCGGTAACACCAGATCCTATTTACGCTGGGAGAGGATAGTTTGTCCAAAAGTTGGCCATTGGATGTATACCCTACATGGGTTAGGGAGCTCAATTTGGCTGTGACGGTGACTCCGACCAGTGTTCACTCCGTGTCGGAGTGGAAGTGGCGAGGGTCTAGTTTTGGAAAGTTACCCAGTAATAAACAAACAGAATGGAAGTTAACTTTGGGCAGGGCGCATCACCTTGGCAACGCGTCCGATGAAAGCGTCTCTCTCTCTCTCTCTCTCTCTATATATATATATATATATACACTCACACTCACCGGCTACATTATTAGGTACACGTTTTCAAGACAATTTGCTGAAGTTCAAACATGTACAACCATCTCTAGGGTTTACAGAGAATGATCTGAAAAAGAGAAAATATCCAGTGAGCAGCAGCTGTGTGGATGAAATGCCTTGTTGATGTCAGAGGTCAGAGGAGAATACCAGGAGGCCACAATAATAAAGTATGAAAATTGTAAAACACAAAACTTTCTGTTGCTGGCCTCTATCAGGCGCACGCAATGATGATGCAGTGAATAGTGACGATTCTCTCTGACCAATCAGTAGTCTGCTGTGTTTTCACGTCACATTTTAGTATCGCTAAATCCACTTCGGTCCAATCCAAGTTTTGAGGCAAGAAATCAACTGTGTAGACTTCAAATATTGACAGTTTTACGAAAAGTGATGGCGGAACCAAAATAGGCTTGAAAGTTTTCGGAGCTCTACAAGTGGCGGCAGCGGAAGCCTGTGGCAACCCGCGGGAGGAGCTCGCTAGGCCAACCAGACTGCTGCAGCAACAACGACAGAGGAAAACACAGCTGGAAGGTTTTCATACCACTGTATTTACATTCTTAGTAATGTTGAAACATTTTAACTTAAATGAAGAGACAGCAGTGTGTGGATCGCTAGTGTGTGTGTCGCATTGAACATTACGTCACGGCAGTTGTGTGCGGCGTCCCTATGACGACCAACTACATTGAGGGGCACTATCTCTGGGTACATCTGCAATGGAAAATGGAGCACGGCCAAACTGAGTCGAGTAGAGTCGAGTCAAGTTGAGTTGGTATTGGTAATGGAAAAGCGCCATATAACTTTCTTTCTTTGGTTTACATAAATATCTAGAGGAAAATTCATGGAAGTTTTTAATTGAAAATATTTTTAGTCGTGTAGGCAGCATGACTCTAGGGATGTCAATGTCGGTCTGTTAGTCAATCCACCACTGCAGTTAAATAATCTCTATGAATAAATCTGTACAGGGTGCGAATTATACATTGACAACCGGGTGGGTCAACTTTTTTTCCAGGTCAAAAAAGGAAACAGTACAGCGCAGGCGCGTGCTTCAGTGAACTAAAATTTTACAAAGCTTACAATATCTTTGCTTATTTAACTAATGCCTGCAGTCTGTAGATGATGATAAATCAAATTCATTACACCAGTTGATAGGTGCCCTATACCACACAACAACCTTTGTAGTTAGGGGTCACTAAGTATTCTAGAGCAAAACCGCCAGCAAGCCAGACACACAACAGCAGGCCATCATGACTGCTCAAAACAGACCCACAGATGATGAACCAGAGCCAATGACACTATTAAAAACTACCGTCTGCATTATTATCTCTAATTCCTATCATTCTCATCAAGTTTAAACTTTCAAAAAACACAAAAGACTTCAAATGAAACAATAAACTCTATATTAACTACAATAACTAATCCCCAATTTCACTGCTCATGCCTAAACACCAGTGTTAGCTGACAATTAACGTTACATAAAATATGAAATTACATAATGAAATGATAGGGTGGGTTATCAGCTAGCTAACATCAGATAGCTCATTTTAAGTAAAAGAAATGCTAATTATGAAACTCTAAAGGTAGGAAACTTCAGTGTATTAAAGCAGCTAGATAGGTAAATACTGACAATAACTTGCAGCGTCTCCATTAGCGTGTGATGCTCCGGATTTGAGCAGCTGCCGCTGCCAGTGATGCAGGCGGACAAGATGTTCAACTAACGTCAATGTTAGGAAATGGTACAGTCCATTTTAGGGGTGTCTGAAATCGTATTTCAAGATTTCAAGACAACGCATGAGTATGGGAAATATATTGTAATTTTTACAGTCACAGGTAAGAAAGACTCCCCTGAACTGTTGTTTTGCCTCTTTTGGGGGGTTCAAGCCTTAACTAGGGGGGTCAGACCCCCCCAATCTTTTTCCTCACAACGTGGCCTATTTGCACTCTCTCAATGCTTTGCTGAGTTGCTATCAGCGACTTGAACAATACAACTCCACCACTTCTGTCAAAAAATTCTATTTTTTAATATACATATCCAAGATAATTGAGTTTGTCAGTTTAATAAATGCCTGGATGATTGGAGAAAAAGTTATTTGACATTCACATATAAGCAGGTTAAAACAAATGCTAAGATTCATCAAATTTTGATCTTCACTGAGGCCCAATAAGAGTTAGTTAATGAAATGAGACAATGAGATGAGAGAAACCCTTTATTTTTCTCCCTATTGCACTTTATCTACATATTGCTAGGTAGCTAGGCTTAAATATATAGTATTTACAGAACCTGTAATCCTGTTCTGGTGTCAGTGAATGTGATATCAGTATACAGCACTTTATTTGGCAAGTTCCTAATATGAACAATAAAAACATATGAGCGATCCTGTGACTTGGTCCATTTTGTGCTTCTCATGGTGGTAGAAAGATACAGGCTCCTACTGGCTGATTCAATGTCATGTACTGTATGTGTTTTCACTTGTTTTATAGGTGAAGTGAACTGCTGATTCTGGAGTAATTTAATTGGTGTGTTGTCCATTCTTTAAAAGAGATGAAACTATCACTCCCCCCCCCCCCCCCCCCCCGTAATTCGAACCATGAATCTGTCATGGTTTATACAGCTTGTGTGAAGTCAGAGGCTACTTTTACTTTTTTACAATACTTTTTGAAATCAATATCTGAAGAGAGGGGTGATACATTTATTTGAAGCAATCATTGGGTCATTGTGAAGCTTTGATCAGTATGATTTCACATTTATAAAACCATGTTGGTTTGAATGAGGCACAAGAGGAGGGAGAGATTTCAACATTTGCCAAGTTTGCTGACACTTGTGGGTGCAAAACTTACCCACATGTTTTTTCAACATTTTATATACCTCTGCTTGTGTGAACACTCTGCACATTCACATGGTGGCATAAATGGTTTACAACCACATCAGCTCTATTTCCTTTCCATTAATAGCAAGATGCAGAGCCTTCAAAACATGCTGGTCATCCTTTTCAGTAAGTTTATTTATTTTTATGAAAATCATTTAATTGGTCTCGATATCTTTCACTCTGCAATACGCTATTATGCTGAATTTCATTAGCACAATTGGCTTCATGTGTCTTCATTTGTCTTGTAAATCAAACTTAAAACAATGAAAATGATCATCAATAAAGACATCACAACACTAAGTGTTAAATGCACATATCTGTGCACTTTGTGTAACTTGTTTGCAACATTGTTTTCCAGTCCATGTTGTCTTCTCTCTACAGTTCCTCTGAGCTGTGTGATGAGTGCAGCAAAAGAAATCCAAGTGTTTGGATATGAACAGAGCGAAGTTAAAGTTTCCTGTCCATATGAAGATGGATATGAGTCCTATAAGAAGTACTTGTGCAGGAATGAATGTGACTATGATCATGATGTTGTGATAACGACTACAGAAATGAAGAAGGATAGATACTTCGTCCATGATGACCAAAAGAAACACATCTTCACAGTGACCATCTCTAACCTTCATTATACAGATGCTGGGAAATACTGGTGTATGGTGGAGAAGTTTTGGTGGGATCTCTTGACTGCTGAAGTAAAAGTGGAGGTAATGCCAGGTATGAGAGTAAATAAACCTATCAATACATTTAAAGTTCTACTGACATTTATATCCAAAGTGACTTGCAATTGCTATACATTTCAGAGGTCGCACACCTCTTGAACTATGAGGGTTTAAGTGCCTTGCTCAGGGACACAATGGTGGATGAATCACAGTGGGGGATTGAACCCGAGTCTCTCCCACCGAAGGCATGTGCGTTATCCATTGCGCCATCACCCTACTTAATGTACATGTCACTCAGCTGCCATTTACATTGAATGTTAACTGTTTTAAAGATGACATATAAACAATTTTTTCATGTAAAATTGTTATATATATATAAAAGTAACCCCGCTAAGGTTGGATTTTGGTACCAAAACATAATCATGGCCCATAACATTACATTTGTGAACATGTTTAACTTTGTGTAAAACTCTTTGTCTATTCTGTTAGGCTGGACCTGAATATTTGTTTGTTGGGTAGGTGTTCGATTTTAAATTTTGGGATTTGAATTTGTGGGGTTTTTCCCGCATGCCTGACATCCCTCTCACTGCAGTGAACGTGATGCTCAAGTTCACATCAAAGGGAACACAAAATGCCAAAGACCTTAGCTGTGTGGGAGCACTTTAAATTTAGAGATCACAGTGTGGCAGTTATGGGGTTAATTTATTTTATATAGCTTAATTTCATTACAGATACAAAAGTCAAATAGCCTACATTTGAAAATGAATCACTAAGCTGTAGGCTACAACAGAAAAAAAAACTACATTATGGAAACGTTTAGTAGTCTATAATTAAAGTTAAAAGTGAATTTTGCAACTTGTTGTTTGTAACGCTACTGGAAATAGCGCTCATCCTGTCTGCTCTCCCTGAATCCCCCACCTTGGAAACTATTCCTGGATTTTGCTCCAGACCTGCTTGACTCAGCTTCCCACACTCTCAGCTACGGATTCCCTCCTGCTCTGCACATAAGCAACCAACCCGGTTCTGCATACATCTAGTCTTCCACTCTACCTTGCTCTTCCCCGGCTCAATACCTCAACTAACTTGTAACTTGTTGTTTTAATTAGCCTGCATAACTGCATATGCATATGCAAATCAGCTCAATTTATTTTTTTTCTAAAATAGATTGAGAAAAAATTGCAAAAAATGTCTTAAATTAACCATGGTTTAATTTCTCAAAATATATGAAACATTTGAAGGAAATCACATCGCAAATGGGAGAAGTTTGCCCTTGGGGTTTCCGCCAGAAAGTGTTACTACTTGGTTAGGTTTAGGCACCAAAACTACTTGCTACTCGCTTTACACTACAATTCAACATTCACCTATTCACAAACTCATTCATACACTGATGGCAGAGGCTGCCATGCAAGGTGCCAACTTATCATAAACAGAAACCAATACATTTACACACCGTTGGCACAGCACATAGGTTTTCAGGATCTTACCTAAGGACACCCACTCTAACCCCCATACCACAGCTGATGTGTTGGCTCTATTGTCCTTCTGTTTCACAGAGTGGTGCTGTGTGAAGACAAAAAAACTGAGCGGCATTGTGGGACATCCAGTAATTATGCAGTGTCCCTATCCACCACAACACTGGGATAACAGGAAGTTCCTCTGTAAGGGAGACCACCGCAACAACTGTACAGATATGGGGACGAGTCACAGCAGGTTCACACTGCAAAATGATGTTTCTTCCAGCTCTTTCTTGGTCACAATCACAGAGCTGAAAGCAGGAGATGCTGCAATATACTGGTGTGGTTCAGACTCACAGTGGAGTCCTGGAAACTACACCAAGATTCAACTGTCAGTGGGTAAGATTATAAAAAGAGCAACCAACGGAGATTACAGCAATTTGATAGTAAAAGTGAATATAGCTTTATGTTTTACCCAGGTTCCAAGTTCAAGAACGCTATTTGTCCCCAAGGGGTGATTAGTTTTGCTTTAACTGTTTAATGTATTACTTTGTTTGAACTCTACTGTAAAACATATTGCTAGATGAAAAATCGAGGGCTCACCAGAGTTATAAAATTTTTTCCCGAAGACATCAATGTATGTACATCAGTGCACATAATCCCTCCAACAGTTCTTGAGACATTTCACAAATTTTATATTCCAGGTAGGGCTAGAATAAAAGTCGGGGATTACCAAAATCGTTAGGATTCAACATCTAGAAACAATGAATGTCTGTATAAAATATTGTGTCAATTCATGCAGTAGATTTTGAGATAAGTGAAATTCTTCGATGTGATGGTGGTGCAACATAAAGTGTCAGAGGGTTAACAAAATAATTAGTATTCATCCTCTGGGGACTGCGAATTTCTGTGCCAAATTTCATGTCAAACCACCCACTATTTGTTGAGATATTTCAATGTGGACCAAGTTGGTGGACCAACCAACTGACCAACAAACATTGCTGTCCCCAGAGTCCCACTGCTAGTTAAAATAAGAGTACTTACCAAGGGTTCTAACAAACCTTCTCTCTGACAGTCTTCCCAAAGCAGACCAGCACTGTGAGATCTACCAGCATTGTGATCTCTACCAGCACTGTGGTGGATCCTGTTGGATCACAAACGACACATATCCCTGGCAAAGATATTAAGGTACATTTGTGTTCACATGTGGAGAAACAACTTTTAAAACCATAGACATAACACATGGACATAGTGTCTTTGACGCCACTCATAGGTTTCTGATTAGCCTTTTAACATGGGGGTCTATGGGGAATAACTTCTTTTTGGAGATTTAACCGAGGTTGCCGCTTGGTTAAAACACACACTGAGCAATAATAAAAAGGGAACACTAAATGTTTTGAGGCCACAGCTCTGATATTCAGTGTGACTTATGCTGTTTTGTCTTTGAGATTGTGTTAAGAGATGAGTGTACTGCGTTGTGTGTTCTCAGGAAGTCAGTCTGTCCTTGCTCAAAATGAAGCATGCGAAAAGTGTTTGCTTGAGCTAGTTGAAGACATGAACAGAAACCAAACCAGGGCAGCAGAAGCAGAGGAAGTGGTCAGTGTTGCACAAAGAAAACTAAACCCCAAAGCCTTGTTAGTGGAAACACGAGACTGCAATGTTCAGTACAGTCCACATTACAAATGTGTGGGACTTTACTGATGATTTCACTATTAGTGGCGTTGAATATTGAAGTTTGTTTTAGGGTTGCACTACTGGACCAATCACAGTCATAAGCCGATGAATATGTTAACCATCTTCAGCTCAGACTGCCTATTAGACTATTTTGTGTACTATTTTGACATAATTGGCTTGGTGGGGATGGTTTATATTAGCTAAGGATCAAAAACTGATGGGGTAATTTTGCTTGAGGTAGTTGAAGACACGCTACGTGTCTTCAACTAGCTCAAGAAAACATTTTTTTACAAGAAACGTATTTTAAGAGATCTAATAATAACTTGATTGAAGAAAATTATATTGATCATATTAAACCATAATTTAGTGAAAAGGCTAATGTGTTAATTTACGCAATATACAAACAGCAGGATATAATAAGACATACTTAAATATTTTAATACATAATAATAACAAATTTTTACTTCCAAATTTGCTTTTATCAGTATATGTGGCAGTCATATTCTCAGTTGTAGGTATTTCTAGAAAAAAATGTTTACAATGAAGACACATGTCAGAGTTTTGTAGAGAGCGGAAGGCGTGACAACATTTTACAGAAGAGCCCACCTCGTAATTATCTATGGGAAAGGGAAAAACGCAGGAAGTGTATGTTCTTACTCTTCTTTTTTTTCTTCATAGATGCAGCGCTCTTACACCCTGTGGTTTTTGTTGTGCTCGCTATGCTGCTCATACTGACATTTGCCCTGTTGGTAGTTTATAAATACAAAAGTTACAAAGAGCATGGTATGTTTTACTTTCAATTAAATGTATGAGCAATGCACAGATACACACAGACAAACACATATGCAATGTGTAACTATTCTTTATGCTGTGTGTTTCCAGGAGCTGGAGTTAACATGAACAGAAACCAAACCAGGGCAGCAGAAGCGGAGGAAGTGATCAGTGTTGCAGATGTAAGAAAATTAAACTCCAAATCCTTGCTAGTTGAAACCAGAGACTGAAATGTTCAGTACAGTATACTCAAAATTTTATTATTAGCGGTGCTGAATATGTAAAGTTTCTATTTAGACTGTCATTACTGGAAGTGAGTGAGATCACAATCAGAAGGGTTTATACCATACCACCTATGGATGATATCCAGATCCGAGGAGTGGCAGAACAGAAAGCCCGATCACCCATGGTGCTGAGCTCTCCTGGGGAGAAGGAGGCGGTTTGAGTTTGTTGAGCAGAGGGATATGCTCTCCTCCAGACAGGCGGTGAATGTTGAAGATGATGATGATGTTGGTAAAGCTGCAGAGGTGTCTGTGTCCAATTTCATGTATAGTTGTGTGTCATCAGCATAGCAGTGAAATGAAACTCCATAGCGGCTAATGACATAGCCAAGAGGAAGGATGTAAATCATGAAGAGGATGGGGACCCCGCAGGTGACCGCAGTGTGTTGCCGGGACCTTGCACTTCCAAGTGAAATGTACTCTGTTCTGTCAGTAAGGTACAATTTAAACCAGTTAAGAGCAGTGTCAGTGAGTTCAGTGGTTTTGTGTAGCCGGTTGAGAAGTATGTCATGATCCATAGTGTCAAAGGCAGCAGAGAGATCGAGGAGTATGAGGAAGTGATCCAGCATCAGCTGCCATTTCTAGGTCATTTGTCACTCTAACCAGGGCTGTTTCTGTGCTGTGGGCAGAGCGGAAACCAGACTGAAATTTTTCGAAAAGGTTGTTGTGTTTGAGATGGTCCTGGAGATGGACGGCAACAACTTTTTCCAGTACTTTTGAGAGGAATGGGAGATTGGAAATGGGCCTGTAATTTGCAAATACATCTGGATCAAGGGTGGGTTTTTTGAGAAGTGGTTTGATTATGGTCGTTTTAAGGGCAGATGGAACATTGCCAGTCTGGAGGGAGTGGTTTATTACAGGGGCAATCAGGGCTTAGGGCAGAGGTGTTTGCTTTCACTAGAGCTGTAGGAAAGGGGTCGAGGGCACAGTGGGTTTCATCCCTTTTGATTATTTTCTCAACCTTGCTGTGAGATTTCTGGAAAGCAGTGTAGGGGCTGGGAGATTGCAAGCTGTGAGTGTACAGTCGGGGCGGGTAGTGTTGAGGACCCAGGAAAGAAGAGTGGACTGAGTCTATTTTATTTCGTAAAAGGCCAGGAAATTTTACAGTGCTCTTCTGTAATTTCTGTAAGTGAGGTGGTTTGTTGTTTGAGAAGATGTTTTATGGTGGAGAACAGTGTTTGGACTGTTTCTGATGACGTTAGAGTAGAACTGTGAC